CGAAGGTATTCGGTCAAGATGCGGGGCAGAGGGAAACGCAAGCCGAACATCACGGACCGTTCGGCTACTCCAACATACCCAGGAGGCGAGCAATGAATACGTTCGCTCCTATATGGAGCGAACATCCGTAATTCTCTGGGGAGTCGGATAGAAGTCCGTAACCGTACTACCCGGTCGTCAGTCATATCACTGGGCGTTGAGGCAAGCGTGTACCAGGTCTGGGTCGGCCACTCGCGATACGGTCGTCGCCAATATCCCCTAGGGACAGCAACAATTGACTCCTCAATTTTTCGATGCTCCTCAGCGTTCTCTTTGAGTAGGGGCATTCTCATCCGACCCGTTGTATTCCCCTGAAGGGCCTCTTCGTATTGTTCCTCGTTGTAACTCTCGGAGGGTGTCGACATATTCGACGTTTTGACGAGGAAAAAGGGAAATTAAAGAAAGAAAAGGTCGCCGACAAGAAGGAGAGAGTGTACCTTACCGGAGACTACGACTTTGCAGAGAAACCGAACGAACAGGCGTTGTGTTCGATCTTGGAGGCGCAAGAAGTTCTAAGAATTTGAGGAAAGCTTAAGTAAGGAAAAGATTTTGAACTATGGAAAAGCAGTATTTATAGGTGAGCATTTGAATTTCTGAAGAGACAAAATGATTGAGATCTGAAACGGTGTAAGGTAATGAAGCGTTTCGCACACGCCATTAATGTCATCGGGCCAATGCGGTTACGACACGTCACAGGGGACGGTAACTGTCGGCTCAGATAAGGGAAAAGGCACGTTAATTCTTTCTCATCACGCCGTTCGACTCAACTGGATCACATAAAGCAGCTCCAGTAAATACGACCAGTCCTAGCCTATCCGTACAGACCGAACCTGGGGGCCTTTGTACGTGGTAGAGAACGAACAGACAAAAACGTTAAATTAAATAAAAGGCATATTCCCATCCGCAAACAAAAGACAGAGAAACGGATCGAACAGAGACAAAGATCGAGCGAGATGTGGATAGCGTGTCCGAGCAGAATCAATCATTATCAGGATATAGACCGTATACGCATTTAATGCGGCTGGATTCGAAAATCGATCATCTGATGGCGCTCAGCAATTAGGGACGCGTGTCACAGCCCGAGCGTACTTACTTTATTGAGATGGTGTTTTATAGTACATTAGCATTAAATGTGGTGTGACTAAATATCAATTAATATCTTGTAGAGAGAAAAGAAAAATGATAACCGAAATCAGGTTGTAATAAGTCCTCAAACTTCCTATAAAAGGAGCAAGAGGCAACATTAAATGCAATGAGTAAATGCTCTCATTAATACCATATAAGTCACGGATAAAGCTTAAATTCGTGTTGTCTTTTGTATCCAATACCGTACGAATTCCTATTCGTGCAGACCGAACAGAGTATACATTCTAGTATGCAGTTCGAACATATCGTTGGTCATTTTTAGACATCAACACCCCTATTATCCATGAGTCACCCCATCTATCTTTGGCATTTAGAAGGTAGTTTCTTTGCATTTCCCTCTCACTAGCAGAAGAACTCATGTAAACAAAAATGGCCTATTGATTAGATAGAGATGATAGATGCTGGAATTCAACTTCTATACAAAAATAGCGAGAAATGAGATTAACAATTACAATGTCCCTGCTCCAGAGCAAAAAGAGACCGCCACTTTGGCCAGTGGGGTCTATGGACAAGCAGTGACCAGCAAAACCAAGCTTCTTGATAAGAGTATTTACAAAAGCAGTAGATTTCCTAGTTTCTGAAGGAAAGTGAACCATGGGAGGTGGATTTTAATGGACTTCTTAAGCTGGGGAACTGTAGAGGGTCCTCCCAGACCTCTACAGTTCCACACCATAGCCCTCATTTATCAGTTGGGAGCCATTTCAGGCTGGTTGCCTCCACCTTAGAAGAAGATTGTTTCTGTTTTTTGGTGATTGGGTTATTGTTTTCTGGGTTAATAGTATTAGGTGTAGAGGGAGTGCCTTCATCAGACTGCAACCTTCCTCTCTTATTTATGTGACTTGTTTTTTGACCTGCAGTATTCTGGTTAGAGGCGATGAGAGGTGTTGATTTTCTAGTTTTCCTGGTCCATTTCTTAGTGGGAATCAGATTTTGGTTAAGGGATGTGATAGTGGCAGGAGAATCTAATAACATGATTGAGTTCTCAGGAACAGGGTTTTGGTTCTGCTCTGAACTGTGAATGATCATCATTTGGGATGTGGATGGTGGGGATATATCACTTTTGGTATTGGATGGGGGTGTAGGGGTTGGATGAATGGGGTTAATGAGAGAAAATTTTGTGTCAGGGTTGAGTTGTTAGAGGGGTTTGAGTGGTTGGAGGGGTTTGAGGGAGCAGATGGGGAGGGTTGGCAATTGTTGGGTATGTTTGGGTTAGAATTTCTATCTGGTGAAGGAGAGGGGGAAATTAATTTAAAATCTCCCAATTACTACATGGCACAAAAAAGTGGGCACCTCAATAACTTGGCTGGGAAATTATTGTTCACGTTCGATTAATCGATGGTGAATCATTCAACGAATTTTGATTAGTTACTATCGGCAGGTGGAATCGAGAATGGAAGGGAGATTTTCATTTATACACAATGTTTCTTAATTATTTGTAAGATTACCAAGGGGATTAATTTATTTGCAAATTTACCTAATTCATGGAAATTAATTGAGATAATACCTAATGTCGGTTACCTCAACAAATAGAGATCACTGTCCTTAAATATCGCAGATTTGTTAGTCAGCCGTTATTTTTGCAAATAAAATTGTATATTTAATTGGTTAGTGTATATATCATAATAAACCGATCTTGTTGATTCTATCCCGTAATATATCCGAAAAAAATAAGGTATTATCTTTATTTTGCAACTGGTTTATGTATATATGTAGTATATTTTCTGGTTTTCTCTGATCTGATGTTTATATATATATATATATAGGATGTGGTTCAAATGAGAACCGAGTCCTAGCGTGAGAACCGTGAGAACCGCTATTTTTAATTGTATGTAGTGCTATGATTAATTGTGTTTTAGTGCTATTTTTAACTAGGATGTATTTGATTAAAAATAGCAACAAATTTTTATTAGCATTTATGAAAATGATAGCACCATGTAATATTAAAAATAGCATCATACACAATTAAAAATAGCATCAAATATGGTTCTCACGGTTCTCACACCAGACATAGTTTTTATTTGAACCAGCCCCTATATATATATATATATATATAGTTGTGGTTTATACTGAAGATATACCGAACATATACTGAAAAATAACACTGGATCGAGGCGAATATATACCATTTTCTGGGTTTATATATGTATACCGAACATATACCAAACATATACAGAACATATACATAAAATATACTCTCGATGATCAATCGTTTCTCATTTCAGAACCTAGATTAAGACCCAAAACTGCGACCATGAATCTCTTTTCTGCATCCGCAAGCTCATAACGAAGCTTGTCGGCCTCGCCGGCCATCGAGGGAGAAGAGTGTGTTATCCGATGGGATTAAAACTCGATTTTTCAAATAAAGAGGCGATGAGGAATGCGACCGAACCCGCCGGTCACCGACGAGAACACAAAATACTATCAAATCAAAAACAGAATCGATAAAAATTCTAATATAAGATTCTGAAAATAGCGAAAAATATGAAAGCAAATTACTTGGATCTCTGTCTCATCTTTCGGCGAGCCACCGATCGCGCGAGAAATCGAATCCTCCACACGCAGCCGCATCAAACCGAGATCGCGTCGCACGACTGCAACAGCAAAGCTCGGACCGACGCCGCCATAGCCGACGAGACCACTGTCAATTGGCCGTCCGTCAGCCCTCTCCAACTGCCTCAAACCGTGTTCAACATCAAAGAGAAGACAATTAAAAAGGAATTTATGAAATTGAGGGCCGGGAGAAAATTGGGGATCAGTAAAGAAGAAGAAAAAAGAATATGACGAGAAAATAAGAGGATAGAAGGAAAAGAAAAAGGGGAAAGAAAAGTAAAAGGAAAAAAAAAATAAAAAGGAAAAAAGGTTACAATTTAAAATACAAGTTTCGGACAGATTTGCTATTGTTTTTTATTGTCTTGTAAAAGTGTAAATAAATGTCTTGTGGATGGTAGCAGGTGTAATTATCTCAAAATGAAACCAATGTTGGCCCCAATAAACTACTGGACCAAAATTAAGTTTGGTGACCAAAATATCAGCTATCCTGAGATCAGCAACTCATGTTTAATTCATGTTTTTTTTTTTTTCATAANTATATATATATATTTTGTTTTATTTGGATTTTTTAGTTTGGTTTGTTTAATTTTAAAAAATGTAGTATAATTAGTTGTTAGTGGGTATATATAAAAATAATATTTAAAATAAAATAATCAAAATTGATTTGATATAAAAGTAGGAGAAAGATAATTTCAAGTGATGGTTAGTTAAAATTATGTGAGTGCATAAATAGTAAATTAAAGTTAATGTGGTGTGTATGAATGATTGATTAATATTATTTAACTATAATGATAATATTGATGATAGTGAGGTTGAGTTAAAATTGAGTTATAAAAAAGTGGTTGAGTTAAAAATATTTAGATTTTTTCTTAAATTTTTGTATCCAAGCATCCTCGATCATATCTTCACCAGTCGCCAATTGGTAAATGCCATTTATTACAAGATTTGAATTCCAAAAACCGTAGAAGGTGTAAATATTATACTTTGATCTAAACGAACTTTTATTGATTTGAAGTTTGTATAAAAGTAGTTAGACTATGTTTGGTAAAATTGGCTGATAAGCTAGTTCATAGCTGATAATCTAGCTTATAGCTTATAAGTAGTTTTCGAGCTTATAATTTATTACTTATAGCTGAAAAACTAGCTTATATGATAAAAGTGTTTGGTAAAATTAGCTGATAAACTAGTTGAAATAAAAATTTCACCGAGCTTATTTGAAAAGCTATCCAAAGAAGCTTATGAGATAAGCTCGAGCGTTTTAAAAGAGCTCGTCATACCAAACGAATCTTATTTGAATACAAGAAGCTCATAAGCTAACCAAATAAGCTATAAACTAGCTTATTTGTCCACCAAACATAGTCTTGATTTAAATTGCAGGAACAAGTAGGCGAAATTATAAGAGCAAGGGTATCCATTCTTTGATCTAAATGAAATTTTATTGATACAAACATAAATATTGCTTCAAGGCTTGCTAAAATATTAAAAGAAGAGAGCACAACTTATTATGATTTGAAATAAAATACAATTTTGACTAAGCCGTCCCAATCCACTCCAACGACAAGAGTCGGTTGATCGTCTTACCATCAAGCTGGTAAGATCTGGTGAGAAGGTCCGGCAAAACAGAGGGCTCTGACCCAAATACAGCCTTGGACAAGGTCACAACTCCCGGGTTCTGACTGCTTAGGGCCGCAATTGCAACAGCATTAGTGCTCCCAAGGTTATACTGAAAATGAATGAGTCCCTTAGGGAATAAGAAAACGTCTCCCGGGTTCAGGACCTTAGAGTAGAGTTTGTTCTCATCGGCTGCATTTGGAGGATTGGAGGATATGAAGCCCGCGTAGAGAGTTCCCTCTAAGACTAGTAGGATCTCAGAGGCATGTGGGTGAACGTGTGGTGGGTTGGCGCCTTCGGGGGCAAAGTCGATGCGGACCATGGAGATGCCGAGCGTGTTAAGAGCCGGGAATTGGTTCACGAAAAGGGCTGTCACTTTAGTCCCGAAATGGCTTGTTATGTTGCCGGCTTTGTTGAGGCCGGAGAAGAAGAAGTCGTTCGAGGTAACGGTATTTGGGTCCTTGCATATCTTCCCGTTCACCAATACTGCCCAAAAGTAGCAAAACTTTACATTCAAATGACTGAAAAGGAGTATTACCTCATTACAATATATGTTATAGATTAATACGAAACGCTTCTGATTGTAGTGTTTTCATATTTAGCGGTTTATATCAATCCACTAGCTTGAAAGCTATTTTACCAAACATGAGTTTCTGTTGATTTAAGTGGGTCAAACAGCTATATTAGCGTTTTAACTCAAAACGCTAAAAAGCAAACAAGCTCTTCTTAAAATTTTAATGGAGGATTAGAGAGGTGTGATCAATTTTAATATAGTTCACATGAAAATCATCGTATGAGATTATTAAAGTCCATTTATATATGGCACAATCAAAAGTATATACTCATTGGAGATGCTCTTGAAGACCAAACTTTTAACACAAGGAAGGTACGTCACCATTTTTTGCACTCGCACGCACACAAAACTAAGACATAAAAATTTTGCGAAAAATAAAAAATAAAAAAAATTACCGCTAGCCTCGGAGTCATTGACACCAACACAGAAATCCTGTAAAGGTGCGGCATCATAAGCATTCGCGTCTAAGGACAGGACAGCAAGAACAACGATGACTAGTAACATTGATTTAGTGGTGGACATATTTAATATGAAAGAAGAATTTGTTTGAGATTTTTTTGTTTTTGCTTTTGTTTCTACTTATATTAGAGATACTGAATTCTAGTACTATAGAACTAGGGGATACTTATAGCTGAATAGCAGATGAATCTCAAATCCCATAATCACTGTATTGTTGAATTTTTCAAACCTATACAGTTCCAATTAAATAAATTTATAACAATCAGTATTGGGATGATTAAAAAATAAATATCGTTGGTCAAATGAACGATAGATGTGTTAGATACGAAACAAGATGATATTAAAGTCGTTAAATATTAGATTAGAAAAATTATGTAGAGGTAAGATTATTATATAAGAATATGTAGCCCGAAAGAATTGAGTTCACAATTAATTATCCTATTGAGCTAGACCTTTATTTAATAGTCATAAATTTAAGCCATTAATTTAAATATTTGATAGACGTACTAAATCTAAAGTCGCCTATATCTAAATTATTCCATCAATTGTCTGCTTCGTTAAGAGACGGTCAAGAGAAGAAAACTAATTTAGATCAAAAAATCAATTCAACTCATGTGATAATCAAGATCAAGATCACAAATTATATCGTCTGCCGCATCAAGTAAGTATTATGTGTACATCAAATTATTTATTCAAGTAAGTATCAGAGCATGTGTTAGAGAATAAATAATTTGTTGCAATTTATGATCGATCGGTATCAGAATGTTTATTGTCAAAATTTGATAGATACTCTGTTTTGATATGATCGCGGGGTTTAGTATTATAAGCATCTTGGTGATTTTAATTTCCCGCATCAAATATTTATTTGAACTGGATGTTCGTGTTCACTAATTCTGTTTTCCCTTTTACACATCAAAATTGTGTGCCTGTATGCAGTTGTTGGTATACGCATCAAATTAATTGTGTCACGAGGACAAGTGGCAATAATTAGTTTTGTTCTCAAAATCATGATGTTCCTTGTGCTGTTTTTAAAATAATGGTTGATATCTCTTCAAGTAAGTGTTATGGCCATATGTACATTGAATTGAAATTTATTCTTTATTATCACCAATGTGAATGTTAATGGGTAAAGTACCCTATTTTGGTGAGCCATATTTTGTTTATGGGAAATGCTATATGTTCATAACCTAACTATGCTCTTTCCAACAACAACATTATCGACGGTAAGTCGTCTTTTCAGGTAATTTCCAGTAAGCCAGGTTCGATATAATTGACTCCTCTCCTTGTAGCATCGAGCTCAATTACATCGAGCCTTACTTTTCTTCTATCTTATTGGTAGAGAGATTGTGGTGATTTCTATTCTCCCGATTCTATGTACAGTACAAAGGATGAAAGTCAATATGATGGGCCAGCTCGATCTCATGATTGCTATTGAGATGTTCGATTTCTTCTTTTTCACTCTTTGACTGAACTTCGCTTCGCTTCGTTCGTTGGGGCTTTTCCTTCCTCTCTTTCCAGAGGTCGAAGCCTTATCTTAATAAAGGGTTGGAAGGCCATTCCCGTCTACTGGTCAATTGCTTGGGGACTCGGACCATTGCTCTCTTTTTTAGTCGTATTGAGTGTATCGGCTTTGGATTCTTTCGCGTAAGCCGATTTCGTTGTGAAGCTGATTGTACATAGAAGTGTACATAATACTCACATTGAGTGAGACCGACCAAAAATAAAAAATCAAGTGGACCCTACTCTATGTGAGTGTTATGTACACCTCTATATACATTTATTATGTACATGTAGCATTTTCCTTTGTTTATATTGGCTTGTATGATGAATGAGATATACATATATTCCCATCATGTTTATAAGGGTTAGTTGTTATTGTATTATATGACATTAAGGAAAAATTAATTAGTTAGTCACTAAAGTGGCCTGATTAATTTTTAATGTTCGGTCATCTAATTTTATCGTTATGAATGTTTTGTTAATTGTTATATGACATTAAGGTAAAATTAATTTGTTAGTCTCCAAAGTGGTCTAATTAATTTTAATGTTCGGTCATATAACTTTATCGTTATAATTTTTATTATATGACATTAAGATAAAAATTAATTTGTTAGTCACCAAAGTGGCCTAATTAATTTTTTCATGTCGAGTGATATAACATTATTCTTACAACTGGTTATTATAAGACATTAAGAGGAAATCAATTTGTTAGTCACCAAAGTGGCCGAATTGATTTTCCAATGTTTGGTCATATAATATATGTCCTATTGAGAATGTCATTATTCAAGATAATGAGTTTATTGGTTAGTAGAAATTATGAATTTACGCAAAGGTGAATCAATGTTCTATAACTAATAAACATTAAGGAGAAATATAATATTCTCTTATCGATCATATGTGGATATCCAAAGTTACTATGTATGTTTGACGGAGTTTATTTAATTTCTGATTAAGTGTCAAATGACATTCGACTTATGATAATGATATATATTCACAACCCAAAGGAGACCTGCAATGTATGTTATGGATGCATTTTCCGAATCTATTAATTAAGTGAGCGTTTATGTATGTGCAACTATCTATCTTCATTCGCAAGCTTCTTCTGTTAGTGTCTTCAATGCTTTGAATTTCTCTGAATGGGTGAGCAAGTCAATTTCTATTTAGGTGTTTTGGATATTGACTTGGCACTGCTTGAATAAAAGCAAGCTGACATTACTGATCAAAGTAGTGAGGTTGATAAATCAAACTGTAAGACTTGGGACATGTCTAACAGATTATGTTTGAGCTTTATGCGAATGACGATTGCCAACAACATTAAGTCAACTCTTCCGGAGAATGTGGATGCAAAATCATATCTTTCGCTTGTGGAAGAGCGTTTCCGTTCTGCAGATAAGTCACTGGTAGGAACTCTTATGGCTGAACTCACGACCAATAATTATGATGGGTCGCGAAGTATGCAGCAACATTTCTTGACATGACTAATCTTGCGGCAAGGCTTAAGTCCCTGGGCATGACTGTGGATGACTCATTTCTGGTGCAATTTATGCTTAACTCGTTGCTTCCTGAATACGGGTGTTTTCAAATTAACTATACCACTATTAAGGATAAATGGATGTTAATGAATTGGCCAGTAAGCTTGTTCAGGAGAAGCGAGACTTAAGGCATAAGGAGTTCATATGGTCAACCTGGTGGGTCAGGGAGAGCTAATGATATTCTCAAACCGAAATCCAACAAATTTAAGAAGAAAGGACCTGCTAAAGTGTCACATGTCATTAATGATAGAAACAAGGAAAATTAGGCAAATAAATGTTACTTTTGTGAGAAAGAAATACACATGCAGAAAAAATTGCCTGAAACGCAAGTATTGGTTTTGAAAAGAAAAGGTATTTCTAATATCTCTGTATGTTTTGAATCAAACTTGTCTGAAGTTCCTTCAAATACTTGGTGGTTGGATTCTGGTGCTACAACTCATGTTTCTAATGTGATGCAGGGATTTCTTACAATCCAGAGCATAAACCCAAATGAGAACTTTTTGTTCATGGGGAACCGTATGAAGGCCCCAGTTAAAGGCATAGGAACTTATCGTATTATTTTAGATTCCGGGCACTACCTGGATCTTTTGAAAACTCTCTATGTACCTACATTTTTTAGAAACTCAATGTCTGTTTCTAGACTTGATGTTCTTGGGGTTTCCTTTAAGTTTGGACATGGATGTTTCAGTTTGTTTGATAAACATGATTACATTATCGGTTCTGGAATTCTTATGGATGGTTTATATAAACTGAAACTTGATATTGATTTTTCCTGTACCTTTGATGTGTGTTCACCAAAACATCAGAATTAAATGTGGTGTAGAAAATGAGAACTCTGCTTTTTTGTGGCATAAACGTATGGGTCATGTATCCAAAGAAAGAATTCAAAGGTTGGTGAGAGATGATATTCTTTTAAATCTAGATTTTACCGATCTTGGGTTGTGTGTGGATTGCATTAAGGAAAATCAAACCAAACATAACAAGAAAGGAGCCCCAAGAAGTAATCAGCTTCTTGAAATTATACACACCGATATATGTGGACCTTTTGATGCTCCATCTCTTAATGGAGAAAAGTATTTCATTAACTTTATAGGCCATTTTTCACGTTATTAGTATGTCTATCTGCTCAAAGAAAAATCTCAAGCTGCTAATGCACTTGAGGTTTTCATTAAGGAATTTGAAACGTAGTAAGACAGAAAAGTGAAAATAGTAAGGTCTGATAGAGATGGTGAATACTATGGAAGGTATGATGAATCGGGACAAAATCCCAATCCATTTGCTAAGTTCCTTGAAAGACATGGCATATGTGCACAGTATACTATGTCAAGTTGTCCCGATCCATTTGCTAAGTTCCTTGAAAGACATGGCATATGTGCACAGTATACTATGCCAGGTACACCTCAACAAAACGGTGTAGCGGAAAGGCGAAATAGAACATTAATTTATATGGTTATGAGTATGATAAGTAATATATCATTACCAAAATCTTTATGGATGTATGCACTTAAGACTGCCGTGTATCAGCTAAATAGGGTTCCTAGTAAGGCAGTTCCTAAAACTCCTTTTGAGTTATGGACTGGAAGGAAACCTAGTTTGAGACACCTGCATGTTTGGGGTTGTCAGGCAGAAGCATGAGTATACAACCCACATGAAAAGAAATTGGATTCTCGAACTGTGAGTGGTTACTTTATTGGCTACCCAGAGAAATCCAAAGGTTATTTGTTTTACCGTCCTAATCATAGTTCTAGAATCGTTGGAACGACCAATGCTAGATTTATTGAAATGGTAAAGTTAGTGGGAATGATAAAGAGACTGTGAAAATTAATGAAATGATGGTTGATGTTCCATTACCTATTAATGTTCCAATATCGACAGTTGTTCCAAATATTGTTCCATAACCACAAGAACAAAATAATGATGAAAATAATTTGGATGATGTAGTACCCTATGAAGAGACTAACTTGCCACCAACTAATATAAATGAACCACGTGGAATAGCATTAAGTAAACCTACAAGGGTGAGAAAATCTGGTATTTCGGATGACTATGTGGTTTATTTGAAAGAGTTGGATTATGATACTAGCATTGATGAAGATCCTGTTTCGTTTTTACAAGCCATTAACAGTGACGAGTCTCATAAATGGATTGATGCTATGAAAGAAGAGTTAAACTCTATGGCTAAAAACAATGTTTGGGATCTAATAGAATTGCCGGAAA